CCTAGTATTTTTTTTTTTTTTTTTATCTAATTATTAAGATTTGAATTGATTGAATTGAACACATAGATTTATTTTATTGGTACATGAGCAACATAAAGTAGAAAGAAATTGTAGGAATAATCCCTTTTTAGATGACGTAAAAAGAAATTTACGGCATTTTTAGGAGAAAAAGGAGGATTACCCAAGAACTCTTCTTGTTGTGAGATGTACTTCGCATACACTTTCTTTATCAACAATTGCTAGATTCAACTAATGAATGGTTTGTTCTTTAGTATATGATTTGAGACAAGTGCAAAGAACAAACTTATATCACCCTTTAATATGAAACTTTTGACTCAAAAACTTTTTTTTTTTGTTCATCACCCATAACTTTTCATTATCCATGCTCAAAAGATGAACCAAAAATAATTCATATGAATAGTACAAAAATGGAAGGTTCATGGTCGAAACTAACACTTTTTAAAATTAGTATGATTGCGTCAATGCACATTAAAAATCAAAACCACTATACTGATTTATATATATATGTTTATTACTATGAAGTAACACTTTATATGATGTATCTATTATTCTCCCCTTTTCTCTTTTAACGTTACATTGATGAGCAAATTTTGATTGAACTTTCCACGGTATAATGGAGATAAAATTGTGCACTTAATTTTTTTTTAATTAAAAGTCTCTCTTTTATTCCTTTGGTGGATTAATCTTTCTCCTTTCGGCTAGATAGAATTGAACACTACAGAAGAATTGAACACTACATAGTATGTTTGAATGTTGCTAATATGGTATGCATACATATTAAAGGTTACTCGGCTCTTTGCATATAAGAAAAGGTATTATGCATGGTATCAACATTTTAGATTTGAAATACTATTCATGCATCAAGTAAAAAATTTGAATTTTGGAATAAGTGTGCTTTTATTTTGAAACGAATTGATATAATATATGCCCCGAAGAGTTGGCCACAAATTCCTATGATCAAATTTGTGTAGCATTAATAAAGAAGGCCAGTATATTTCAACATGTCTGTTATACGTCCGATTGTAAAATTAATATAGGAGACGAGTATTTTAATTTGTCTGTTATACATCATTAAGAAGGTATGTATTTGTCACTTCACAGTTCACACTATTCCTCCTAGAAATGTAAGCTAGAAAAATGTAAAAACACTTAACTTTTGGTACACACGGTTTGGTGCTAAATTGCTAAGTAATGCCCATTTTATTTTGGTGAGAAAATGTAGTCATTAATAAGCCCTCTTAATGAAGGAAATTTCTAATATATCAGAAGAAAAAATAACAAACAAATTAGAGTTAATACTCAAACTACCTGATATTAAATGGCCTACATTAGCTATCCTATCTGATGGACGATTTTGCCTTTTACTAGATGTATTGGATACTCTAGTTGTAAAAGTAAGTAAGAAGGGAACGAAAATCTTTGATAATGTGTTCGATCTGTCGAGGTACTGTTTAAATGAATTTTATTGCGTTGATGAATAATAGATTATCACCTTTAATTTCAATGTCTAGATTGCCATATTGAAGGAATGGTTGGAATCCTGGCCTTTACGAAGAGTTGTAACTTTTACTACTTTGGTGTTGCCAAGGCTGAACTTAGAAGCCTTGATGAGCACTCCGCTACTATCTATAATGACTTTTGTTACTACTGAGTTGTTGCGAATTAACTATTAAAGTTAATATTTTGATCAATAGGATGACCTAGCATTCCCTATTCTCTCTCCTAAATTACCCCTCTTCTATTTTTTAACTAAGTTATTATTTAGCACTCTCTCCTCATGAGTCATGCCAACCAAAGTGATCAACCAATGGCTTCAATCTAACCAATCATCAAAGTTGTGAGATTTCAACACCAATTTACTCCTTGGATCAGGTTAGGGTTCAAGCTAATCAAAATACTTGTAAGTGGGTTGAACACTTAAACTAGTGGTGTTCAGATCAGGCCTAAGTAAATTTCAAGTTGGGCCTGATTTAATTTCTTCTGGGCTTTGGAAGAATTATTGGCCCAATTTTATTTTTATTTTTTTTAAAATGTGAGTAGGACTGTAGGAGTTACCTACATACGTGATTGTGAGATTAACTCTTTTTTTTTTTTTTTTTTTTTTTTTTTTAGGAAATTGTGAAATTAACTTTAGTCCACCTATTCAGTAGATTATTTTTTTATGGGTGAAAAAAATTACTATACTGGGGAGGTAGTGAAAATATGAAAAAAATAAAGATAAATTAGGTTGTATGGTATTGTAACTTGTAAGGATTAAAAAAATAGTTTTAAATCAATACACAACTCGTCACAATAATAAATAGTTTTAAGACCCGGGTGATGTCCCGAGTAAATACATTAATTCCATAATTGAAATCCTTATTTATATTTAATTTTAATAAAAATGACATATAATATGCTAATTAGTTATTGACCCGAGCGATGTCCCGGATCATCATAAATTTATAAGTTTGATCAAATCAATTTAGAAGAGTTAATGTTGAACAATATTAATAGCTAAATGAAAATATAATAAGAGGTTAACGTAAAAAGGTTTTCAATTAAATTAAACACTACTCCGTATTATGTAGTATTAAAGTTAGACTAATAATTCCTTCAAAAAAAAAGGTAGACCAATAAAGAGTTTTCAATTTGTTAAAGACACTAGACATTAATACAATTCAATATGGTGAGAGAAGAGGGATGAATGGATGATACATAAAATACATGTAGCGTACATGTGGCATATGGGTGACACGTATCGTTAGCATGTTGTCACATGAGTTTTACTAGATGGTTTAGTGGCTAACAATATACGGAGTATTTTTAAAACTTAAGACTGTGGGTTATACTTCTTAACAACACCTATGAAGGAGAAAGAGGTTATTTGTCAAAAAAAAAAAAAAAAGTTTAGCTTGGTAGTACTCAAAGAGATCTCTTGGAGAAAAAACAGTATAATCAATTTAGGGTCTGCTCTAATAGACTGAAATCAGCCGAACTGAATATTTTATAAGAGAAGGAAATTAGGAGCTGAATGAAACTGAAAATAAACGTATGAGAACAAGCCCTTACTCCCTTCGATTTTTTATTATTATTTTTTTTATTTGCATCACTTGATGACACAAAATTTTAGAAGAGTTATACAATATCGTGAGTGGGTGAATAAATTATTATAATAAAAGTAAGATGGCCTGGTGACCATGAAAGAGAATGTATGTGAGAGAAGATAGATAATTTTATTATTTAAGTGGGGACCATGAAAGAGAGAAAAATGATAAAATAATTTGAGTGGGGTTTAAAGTAAGAAAAAAAGAAATAATAAAACATAGTATAAAGTTACCAAATATAAAAGTGATGCATTTATATAAAAAAACACCTATAAAAGGAAAGTGATGCAAATAAAATAAACGAAATGAGTACTTTTCAGCATACTTACTAACGCATGTTTCTGGTGTGGCTAGCCACACGGTGCAACAAGCCACACGGTGCGGCCGGGGGCCACGTCAGCAAACAAGTAATCCCCTGACAAAGTAACCCCTGACTGACTTAGTAGCCCTTGACCAAGTAACCCCTGACTGACCTATTAACCCCCGACCTAGTAACGCCTAATCGACCTAGTAACCCCAAAATAACCTAGTAATCCCCGACCTAGTAACCCCCGACCAACCTATACCACCTGCTGCACATTCACTCCCGTACCCGCTGCCGCCCCACGCTGCCAACAACCATGCCACCACCAACTGTCGTACCCACCGCCCCACACCATCACCACAATTCACTTAACCCACAACAAAACCACACCTAAACCACACCCAACCAGACCCACACCACGATAGCACCAAAACCACACCCAAACCTTATCCACCACTAGATCCCCACCCAAACCACACCCACACCATGACATCACAAACTGAAAACAACCGGAAAAAAAAATCGTTTTAAAAAATTAAATGAACAAATATCTTAAAATTTAATAATGGCTTCAAATTTCACTTCGAATATGATTAAAAAGGCAAAATTCGGCGATTTAATGTTTTCATGGATGAATTTGGCCTTAAAACCTCTAGCTTGTAGGAGAACGAGAAAGTGGCAGCGGTGGTTCATATTGATTCGTTGATTGCGATATTGGAGGGGTCAATTGTGGCTATGAGTGGCTGGAGTGCATAATGGTGGGCTCGATTTGGGAATAAGGAGAGAGAAAATGGATGGAGAATTAATGGTGATGCATGATGTGTGGGTTGGTTCGAGAAGAAGAAAAGAGGAGAGAGAGAATATTTGTAGTGTTAAGAAAAAAAAAAGTGGTTGGCCACACGGTGTGGCCAGCCACATATGAAACTTTGCTATCTCCAATTACTATTTTCGTTTCATATTATTTGCAACAATTAGACATTTTTTCTCTCTACTTTATGTCAAATTATTACAAATAATATGTAACGGAGGTACTAGTAGTACTTTATGTCTTTATAAGTTTATATGATGATGTTGTTCAGTTGTTGGGGTAGCTAAGGGCTTGTTATATTCAAATTATTTTCATTTTAATTCAGTTCAATTATAATAATTTCAGTTTAGTTCTTAATTTTCTTATCTCATACTCCCTCCGTTTTTAAATATTTGCTCCACTTTTCTTTTCCGGCCATTTTTAAATACTTGCTCCATTTCCTTTTTCGGAAAACTTTTACAATATATAATTCATTTCTCACACTTAGTGGACCCAACATAATACTCTCTCTCCTCCTATTCTTCCACTACTTTTACTTTTTTTACAATTTTTTATTCTATATCAACTACCCCAATATCTCCATATTTTATTATTTTCTTCAATTCTCATAAAACTCCGCGCATGGAGAAATGAAGCAAGTATTTAAAAACGGAGGAAGTAAAATATTCCGTTCGTTTCAATTCAATCCACCTCCAATAAGTTCACTTCAGTCAATCAGATCGAGCCTTGGCTTGCTAAGCCCTTCTCAAGAAACGGTGTCGTACTAAGCAACATTCTGAAATTCAAGCATTAATCTCATTTGAACTCAATTTCGAAGTTGAAAATGGCGGGCTAATCTTTCTCACTTTCTCTCTCCTCTCTCCTCTCTCTTCTTCCCTCCCATGGCTTCCTTCCATACCAGAGCAGAACGAACTGTACTCTCAAAGTTATCGGAGCTTCGAACAGTTTGCGACAAAGATATCGAAATTCATCACCAAAATACTGACTCAATTTTCGCCTCTTTTGAGAATTTTCTACAATCACATAGATCCAAAGCTGAACTAACTGTTCATAATCAAGGTATTCTTCTTTAATTTAATGCTTTAATTTTGATTTTCTGTTGTGATTTTAGGGTTTACGCTTTTGTGTGTGATTATGTGTGTTTGATTAGGGTTTATCGGATTATCAAAATAATTTTGGTTTTATTACGAGTTGACGAATTTTGGGAGATATCATATATTCATATGCTTAGTTTGACGAATTTTGTGTGAATAATATTCATGAAATGATTTGAATTGCAGCGAAATTAAGGAAACTCAAAGTTGAATTAAGAGAATTGGAGGATGAATTGGTCAGAGCTTTGGCAGGTATGCCTCTTTAATCATGTTGAGGCGGCCTTTTCGCTTATTATTCGACATTATGGTGTAATCATTGAATAGTGACGATTTCTTCACATATAATTTGATGTTCTGGTATCTGCCAATACTCTTGTATTTTTCTTCGATGCCTTGTGGATTGATATGTTTTGAAGGGTTTACTGTATGTCTTATTACTTGCACATACACGACATTAATAAATCGTGCGATTCTTGTTAGTAGCTTAACTTATGTTGGTTGCAGCATATCACTGATCATTAGTTCATTACACTTTGTCTGTTGATTGTGGAATGTGGCATATGATTAATGTAATAATGTGAGCTTCTTCTCACGTGGTATATCCTTTGTTTGTACCCGAGTTACAGTTGTGGGGTGATACATGTCATACATCTATTTTAAATTTTGCTTCCTTCATAAGTATTAGAAGCTAATTAGTATAATACTTGCATTTACTTATGATTGTATTGCAAATTGCAATGCATGGTTGGGGTGGTCCTGTGGCATAGGAGTATATATATTGAATGGGGCATACACATGTTTTTATTTAACCTCGCATACTTTTATTGTTTACATGCTTCGTCATTGTTGCTATTTTGAAGCCATTCCCTTATTTGTGCAATTTCCCAAACATTTTTTCACATGGTTTTGAATTATGGAATTTCATCTACCAACTACATTTTGTTACCTTTTAGCATTTATTTCTATAACTGTTAATTAGTTACACAGTAGCACTGTATAAGGATTGCAATTAACAAGCATTTTGTTGCAGTTTTCTATGTCCTGATGTTATGTCTGTTCACAGTTAAGACACGGAATGAGGCCAAGCGGATTGCAATAACAGACTCCCTTTCTGAAATGATTGTAAAAGCGGATGAGCTTCAAAAAATTGTACAAGATCAAGCATCTAAAAAAGATGAATATGCTTCCATCCTATCTGAACAGTCAAAAGGTAAATGTCTTTACTATAGTTGAACTAATTTATGTTTGCTGAATATAGTTATTTTACTTATTTACAGAGTTAGTCTGTTAGTAGTGTATTAGGTTTTGACTCCGTGGAGATGTGAGTTATTAAACAATTATGTGGCTACAAATGATTTTGCTAGATGGTTAATGATTATATAGATTTCTTTGTACTAAGTGGAGTAAGTATATCACATACTTCCTCTTCCAAAATAATTATCCACATCCCTCGGGTTAAATATAGAGGGTATAATTTTTTTCCACCATGGTCAGTTGCTTTTGAATTGTGAGTGATTATCATACAAAAGAAACAGTTTTAAAGTAAAAACCATGCTATGTTGTAAAGTAATTGCTTCACTATATAATCCCTCTGTCATTCCGATTTTTTTTAGCTCTTCCAAAATTTTTAACACCTTTGCCAATGATTACATTTCAATAATGTCTATAATTACATGTTATTCAACCAATCAATCAAAGCCTTAATCCCATAAGTGGGGTCGGTTACATAAACCAAATTTGATTATTCCTATAATTACATGTTATTGAAAGTTTAAAAGTTTTATATTCTAAAAGTACTCATCGAGATGAATCAAACAGAACTCCACTTGACCATTTTTTTTTCTTATATATATTGGAGAGAATTTAAGAGATTCTCTTATTTTATTGTGAATAGTATATAGATTCCAAATAGGAAGAAATTTAGGATCAGAGGGAATAGTATGTATCCAATGCTTATTTGGCTCTTGTTATAGCAGTGCTATGGTTTTTTTTAATCTTAGATGATCAAGCTCTATATAGCTAAGTCAGTGTTTATGCTTTTCTATATGTCATGTGCTGAAAATAAAGCTCTATAGAAAGTAAAATGTATTTTCCTACTATCAGTTCTCCACTTCTCCTCCTTGTATGAAGTTTGTCAGCATACATATGATGGTTATCCTTATTCCTTGAGAATTTCCTAGCATCTACCTTATGGTGACCCCGTGTCCCTGACAAACAAAGAGTATCATTATTCACACTTGAATGGGGAAAAACTGAAAAAACAAGAAAAGCGAAGGGGATTTGATCATTTGAGTGAGATCATTTCTTATCTAGTACAATACTGATATATTTCAAACTCATGGATTTCAATGACAAATTTTATTGTTTATGGGTTTTATTTTGTAATGTTTTTATTTTAATTTTTGAGATTTCTATATCTTTCACTTTGTTTTTTTATTTTCATTAGCTATTGCTGAATCTGAAGAGAATAGTGGGGAAGCTTCTAAGAGCAGAGAAGAAATACAAGAGGCATTTAAATGGTACAACAGGGTACTTGGTTTCCGTATTGATGGAGGACATGGTAATTTTAGGTTTTAATTGTTTTGTGGAGAATGCGTTCTTGTTGCTATGCTGTCATTATAATTTTATAACTCTTGTAAATGTCTTTTTTGGGGCAGGTGTTACATTCACATTTACTAACGTCAACAAAAATTGTCCAGCTGAGGAGTATTCTTTCACTGTTCGCCATGCAAGTGAAAAGTATACTTGTAAGTGCTGTGGTGTAAAGAATGTGAAACACATTATTGGAGTAGCTAATAATTTTTTCCATTGACTTTTTTCTTTACTTGTGATGAATATGTTGTTGCAGTGCTTGGTTCTAAGCCACACTTGAAAGATATTGAAGAGCTGGTCCATGAATTAAACAAGAGCAATAGCCTATTCAGATTTGTTAGAATTATGAGAGAAAAATTCCAGGCTACATCATTAGGTACTCTCAAACCCATAATGTTGTCTTTCGTTAAAAGCATAGATGGTAAACCTGACATTTCTTTTTTCCTGTGTGGAAGTTGTGTATAATAGTCACATGATTCTCTGGTGGTTAGCTAACTTGCAAACTTGTTGGCCTGTTGCTACATTTTTTTGAAGCTGTTCACTTGTTGCTTAATTTGAAATGATAATAGAAATACTCTTGCATCAGTTAGCTCGACAAATTATTTGGTTGGTTGATTATTCTAATGTATGGTATTTTTCTTTGTTTCTCAGGGCCAGTGTCTCACTTCATATATCAAGATCAAGATTGTACCAGTATCTCATTATCTGCTCCAGTTTCCTCAGGTTCAATTTATAGCAGAAGTAAATCGCCACTACCACTTAGAGAAGTCAATGGAGATACTAAAAAACTTGAGCATGGAAAAGGCGCTAAATCACCTAATCTCTTCCTATCTCCTCGACGCTCACCTCGTCTTTTGGTAGTACTTGAGAATACCTTTTATTCTTTTTTTTTTTTCTGTTGTTTTTGCTGTTCCTTTCTTTTCCATTGAGGTTTGTGTGTGGCAGTATGCTTGCACAATGAAGTGCATACATTAACAATCACAACTAATTAAAATTGCCTCTTAGACAAACAAAATATTTTCTCATTGATTGTGTATTTGTGTATTATGTTTTGGCTAGTAAAAGAGAATTGATATAAGGATGAACTCATCTTCTTCTTAGGCCATGAACTCGTAGGTGACTAGACGTAACCTAACCTTTGCCTGTGTATTTATTGGAAGACATTAGAATGACCAACGAAGTATTATAGATCCTAGCATATATAAACTTTGTTAAACAAAATTTGTCCTAGCTTTTTCTTTATAGCATTGTTAGAGTCTGTAACAAGTGTTGCTTAATAAAAACATATTTAAAGGTAAACCTTGTAATTTTCTAAATAAAAAAAAATAAAATTCCTAGAATATGTTTTTTAGGAGCTTATTTTTAAATGTATTCTAGGTTATAATGTTTTCTTAAAACAATAATTTAAAATAACATATTTAAGGACCTTATTGTTTTGAATATGTTTTTTTTTTAAAACCATACTAGTATTTTAGGACCTCATGGTTTATCCATTTATGATGCTTCGGCAAGGATCAATTGATTGTGCCTATATTACACTGTTGGTGCTTGTTTTTGAATAGCTGTTTGGCCGAGGAAATTTGGGTTTTAATTCCACAGGTTTGGTGGTGGTGAGTTGTGAGTGATCGTCCAAATTTCAGATCATTAGATGGAATCTGGAAGTAGCATATGAATGTTTTGAGGAATTTGGAACTTTTCTCACTTTAAATTAGGGTCATTTTAGCTTCAATTTATGAAACAGAACTAAATCAACTTTTATTTTGGTTGGAAAAGCTAACACTGATTTTTATTGAATATTCTGAAGATTTTATATCTCCCCCCCCCCCCCCCCAAAAAAAAAAAAAAAAAAAATTGCATTATCACTCTGACAATCTCCCTGTTTTCCGGTAGTATGTTAGTTTTCGGAAACACCACATATGCCTCGTGTTGCTTGGCTTCATTCTTGACTAATTCAGCGAACAACAATTGTATTTTTATCTCATTTGATGTTCTTCTGTGAGTTCTTATGAATGTTTAAATATATTTATCAATAAGTATTTGGACTGTTTCATTGTTTCGAAGTGTATTCTGAAGGCAATTAGGAGGGTGAGAGTTGGTTATACTTTCCGGTCTCTGTTTGAAATTGTGATAATAGAATGCTATGGATTATGATGTGGATTATTAATTCAGTGTTGCACTTGCACATTGCAGGGTAAAAAACCTAGAGAAGGATAAACATATGCTGTCCCCAGAAACTGGGGGAAACGTAATTCATGGGAAGGAATATCAACTGCTAAGTTACGTGGTAACATCGGGCAGATTTGCTTAACAGGTTGTGTGAAGCTTAGTCTAGTTGTATTTAGTATATCTAATTGTATTTACGCAGTAGTTCTTTTTGCATATTTTCTTCTGAAGACTCCAGACTGCAGCTGCTGCCAAGATGTTTTAAGTCCTTCAACTCCTTTTGTGCTGACGGTTAAATATTTGTCATACGATGTGCCTTCTGTTTCTTACTTTCCTTCAGTCCTGTCATTAGTTTTGAGCACTAGGAGTCTTACACTCGATGGACATAGCGAAGTAAGTTTAGGCATGGTAGGTTCAGTTACACTAAGACATACTGTAATGTTCTTATAATTTGGAGTTTTTTACAGTAATATTTATTGTGTCAGGAGTTATTAATTTTTTACGGTAATAAAACAAGTCTTTTCCAAGCCGAAGATGGTGAATAATTGATTGCAATGAACAAAAATATAGCACGAGTTGCTCTACAAAAATGTTAAAGAACTTTCAAGAGTAGAAGTACTGAAGTAGTAAAACAAAATACTACCTCGGATTCATATCATATGCAACTTTGGTGTATTATTTGTAAGATACAAAAAATTCCAAAGTTGCTTATAATATGAACCGGAGGTAATATTCCGTATATACAGTGAAAAAAAAAATTAAAAAACACAAACTATTAGTATCACGTGTTACCTTCTAATAATCTCATCTTTTCTTTTTTCACTTTAGATTATTTTTTAAGGATACAACTTTATCCTTATGTTTCTTCATAATTTACTACCGTTCTTAATCTTGTCATAGGTCAGTAACATATGAGCTCATAAAATATGTTAACATGTAGCATATTGCATTATCAAGCCACAAAAACATGTTTCTTCATATTTTACTAGAACCGTTCTTAACCTTGTCATAGGCTTAATAGTGCAGTATATGCAATATGTTTTTGTGATGGCACTATATACTTGGGCAATTAATATGCAATGTTGTAATATAATGCTTTTCCCCTAGGGTTTGTGGAGAAAATGTAAACCAAAGTTACAACTATATATATAAACAAAAGTTTAAACCTTAGCTTGTGCATATTTTGATGAAAATACTCAACAAAATCATATACTGATATACATTATTCGCATCAATAACATTTTTATTGATCCATTTGGTATCGTACTAAAGTACTTTGTATATATACATTAGACATATTTTCAACTAACTACGGACCAACCAGTGGTACGGTGTACAGATCGACTAATAGACTGATTCTTTTTTTATGATTTTCCTTGAGAAATAACCAATAAACCAAAGAAAAAAGAAACAGGATTTACATCTATAATTTTTCTGCTAATTAATGTAATTAAAAAAAGTTGTAATAGTACTTAAGAGAGTGAAGGGTGTTGTAATCTCCTGCAGATGAGAGTACGTGTATGCTTCCAAAGTCTCAAAGCTTGAGAATGATCAGCAGCTAAAGCTGAACAACAAGTTTGATTACAATCTGCAAAGTATTTTCCACTTACACCTTCTGTTTCTGGACATAGTGCTACATAACATGTTGTTGCTGCACCCTACAAAAATAAAATTTATACATTCATAAATTTCATTAAAAGAATCAACTTTATATTATAATTTTTGTGGCATGTCTGATTTTTATTTTTACAGTAATTATTGATGTTGTATAGTGTATAAAGTATAAAGTTATATCATAACTCTTATTGCTAAGGTGATTTTGTTTTTACCATGCAATATATGTCAGTACGTGTGCAAGTGAAAGTAAGCATCTTTGATGAGACTTTGCAGTGCATGAGGAATGAATGAAAGATGTAAAAACTAAAAAGGGAGATTTTAATGGATATGGGAATGATTTTTTGTTTTAGTGTCCAAAAGAGGTTTAGTTGAAAGGTTGTATTTTTGTCAAACTTGATTTCAGTAAATTTAGTTAGCAAATTAAACGTGAGAACGGAAGATGATGGTTTTCATTTTTAGTGAAACTAAATCACTCTACTAACAGAAATTAGAGAATGTACGTAGAATATTCTCATATTAGATTTAAGATATTGATCAATCCCTTCAATTGAGAGAATATTCACATTCTTAAACCCAATATACTACGAAGTAATAAGATGAAAATGATCGATTAAAATAGACGGATTTTTAAATTGAGCTTTTACACTTGTCAATTTGTCATATGGTAACACATGTAACATCAGTTACTTTCATGTTTTGTCTATCTATAGTAGGAAGTAATACATACATTTATTTTAATGATAATATTGATTTTGTCGAAAATGCACTAAATGTATGAAATTGACGTTATATAAGCAAAAAAATTAAGGTAATTGAGACAAACCTGTGATGTGGTCTTGAGCAACTTGGCTGCTAGGAAATACAAAGAATCTGCAACAAAGCAATATAATCCATGATGATTAACATTTTGCGGTTGAGAAGGTTTCCCATTTATCTAATAACACAATTAAATATATTTGGAAGGATAATGTTAGTGATTAATTATTTAATCATGTACTGTATTATACATAGTATAGTACATTATAAACTATATCTGTCAAAAAAAAATAAAAAAAAATAAAATTATATGAATATTATTGGACGGATAATGGGAATATTAATGTGATTAATAATAATTAATCACATATTATATGATAATATATATAAATTAAAAGGGGTGACAAAGCATGCCTGTAATAAAGCCTTTATGAGCCCTTATAATTCCTGTCTTCACTATCCCTGGATGTACTGCGTTGATTGTTACTCTTTCATTTCTTTCCTGCATTTTTAACGACAAAAGGATAAATTTTTATTAGAAAATTAGTCAATTTTAGAACACCAGTGCTCTTATAATCATAGCTTCTGTTTTGTTTTTTTAGGCCACCTTTTCTTATCTTTTTGACTTTTCTTTTTGTTCTTTTCTTAGTTTTATTAATCTAATTTGATCAATATTATGGCTATTTATTAGATCATTAGCTAGGCTAATCTAATGTCATGTCTTAGCTAATAACCTAGTGATTAATTATTCACACATCATTATTAGCTAATCTAATTTCACAAAGTTCACTAATATTTACTCCCCATTTGGATTATTAATGTTGATAATTTAGGGATTAGCAATATTTTTAATATAGTATTAACTCGGTAATTTACATCCGTTTATTTAATCACAATTGATATATTGTTATGAGAAAAAATGTCTCGATGATAATTAGGGTTAATGAATACCGTAATTGCTCTACATATATCTAGGAAATGGAGCCTTATGACAATGTACAAGTGGAAATTAGTTATCATTCTACTAATTCCTAATAAAATGATACATAGTAATATAACGTAGATATTTATATAAAATCATGTAAAATACTCTATTTTTGAAACAGAAAAGAGTATGAAGTGCTACCTTTAATTGCCTTGCCATTTCTCTGGCATGCATAATGTTAGCCAGTTTTGATTGCGCGTATGCACGTGTGCCATTATAACTACAATGTTGAACCAAAAGCATAAAGTTCAGAAAAACATAAAAGTAACAAAAAAGAATTGGATAGTATATACATACAAATATTAAAAAAATTTACTTTTTAAAATCATCCAATAATTAATCAACATATTAAAATGGAGATAGTAATACTAATTCCGTTTCATAAATATTGCCACATATAAAATTATACAAATTGTGATTAACGCAAAACTTTAAGGTCAATTTTTGTATGTGGCTGGTCACATGATGTGGAAGGGGTTCCTTGTAGGGTGTTACTTGTATTAAGGGGTTCCTTGTAGGGTGTTACTGGTTTTGGTCAGGGTGTTACTTGTATTCATGGGTTACTTGTAGGGTGTTACTGGTTTTGATCAGGGGTTACTTGTAGGGTGTTACTGGTTTTGACCAGAGGTTACTTGTAGGGTGTTACTTGTTTGGTGTGGGGTTACTCAAAATACAAGCAATTCATATAAGTAACCCCAAAATACAAATAACACCCTACAAGTAACCCCTGTCGCACTGAAAAACCTCTGGAAGTTTAATTATTTACATCCTTAATTATGTATAAGTAAATATTATAAAATACTTTAATTTTAAAAACATAATAAGAATAATATATACAGGCAAATCTAATAAGATTTCAAATGAACAAGTTTATGCATGTAAATCATAATATAAGGTTATTAAAGGAAAGTAATTTATTGAATACTCGTAGACTCGTAGTAGAAGAGTCCAAATGTTGCAATATTTGTCAAACAGAGGAAGCAGGTGGACTATAATTATAAAAAAATAAATAAATTGATAAACAACAAAATGAGTGGGAATATTTACTTCTTAGGATTGAGCATTTTAGAAAGAGAGAAGTTATCTTTCTTCACCCATCTGTGAGTTAAAGAGGAAACATTTACTATTCTTCCTTGAATCCCTGATTGTGATGCTGTCTCCACCATCTTTTCTAACAGTAATTCTGTTAGTAAAAAATGTCCTGCCAACAAAACAAGGTGGAGGTAAATTTTCCATCACTACTCTCCTACAGTATTATGCATAATATTTTATTTTTTAAAAAAAAGTTCTTTTTTTTTTGACTTTTTTTTTTATCATAGTGAAAAAAATCCGAATATAATACTTAATTAAATTAACTCTTCCTGGCTGGTTTATTCATTAATACGGAGTATGATATAATGATAGGCATTAAACATCAATGATCAAGTTTGACGAAAAGTTTGACCATAAAAGCTAAACATGATCACTTTGATGTATAGACAAAGAAATAAACACATTCGATATTCCATAATAAGTTAAATTAATATCGTCATGGATTTTGCTCCTTTGTTCAAAAGGATAATTATATGTTTTGACATGAAAATTACTTGCGTCTCTTCAAAGTTATCTAATGAAATTGGAATAAATTGTAGTAAAAATTTAGTTAGTTGTTAAAGCTTTTGGTAGAATAGTAACTTGCACAAGACTAGCTAAAACAATAATGTGGGTTGTTGGTAGATGTCGACTAGTTAAATTAGTACCTTTATCAAATATAGCATCTAAGATTTGGCCTTTTTTGGATTTCAAACTCATTTATATTGCTACTTTTTCTAGTTGTTTCTAAATTCATATTAATAATCCAATATCACACAAAGACATATGCGTAGTCAAAGAAATATGCCTATTCAACTTAAATATTTAGTGATTTTAGAGTGAATTTATTAGACAAAGTTAAATTTAGGCAATTTACTTCAAAGAAAAAAGAAAACCTAAGCAATTTTACCATTGAAAAAAAAAGTTGGTACGTTTTTATAGGGAGGAAAATGCATGGGGACACAACCTTAGCTTTATAATCAAAATAGATCACAAAAGATTTTATTTTTCAATAAAAGTGAAACAAAAATCTTACCAAAA